GGAATACATTCATTTCGTTAAAACGGTCACAACGCCCAGAAGGAAGCTTCAAAAACTTCATTAAGTATATAAATTCTTTCTTCCGTGTGACCGTTTGCCCGTCCTCCCGTTCGCAAAAATGAAAGTATCGTCTACAAACTTGCCAGAAAAGTTCATCCAAACTTTTCAAAGAGCATGCCTACAACACGTTTCTTGTGCTTTTCATGTTTTTTGCTTTTTGCTTGTAAAGTACAACACATACATCGTAAAAATGTCCATTTTTACTTTGAAAATAGAACAAACCAATCGCTCCCAACTAGTATTTGGATAGAGTGTGAAAATTTTATTTTTTTCCTTTTTTTTAAGGTAAAGATGATGGGCATAAAAGATTCGGACCGATTATAATTTTCTTACTTGTTTTTATATACTATCGTGGAAATGAAATCTTTCATCAGAAATATTTTTTCATTTTGAACAAATTTTACTCCAGCTAACTCATTTCCATTAAATTGTCTTCTATGCGAGTGTAAATGATGAAAAAAGTCGATTATGAAATTTTTTTAATTATTCCAGCTAAATTGCCCTTCTAACATAAGGATGCATACAAAAGAAATATTTTATTTTTCTGAGGATACGATCAGCAGAGCAGCGATTCGAACGTCAATTCGGACAATTTTTAAATGTGGTACATTTGTTCTACTTTGACAAGACGTGGTCTTCGGTTGGAAGAGGGCTTTCTCCGGTCCAAATTTTCATGTAAAATGGTGAATGCACTTCCCCTTTGATATCTTTAGAATGCCAGCTACCTGATGTAAACTTATTTTCCTACTGTGTTGTCATGTGTAACCGTATGTTTTGACCGTTCAGTGCGTTGAGCATCATCAGTGTTCGTGCAGCCTCGTTTAAAATGAGTAAATCATCGACATATTGCTGCTTTCAAAGGTGAAGAGTTGCCATAAACTTCTAAGAAAGGAAAGTTTGACTAGTACATAAAATTCGGGTTCTTCTGTACTAAAAGTAAAATCATCATATCCCAAAACAATTTATTGAAAAGACATGAAATTTTGGCAGACGTAGTCTGAAAATTGTGCGCTTTCTCTTCTTTTGTTGGGGACTACGTCTACGCTCCGGAAATTATTGGCTGTTGTTGCAGTTTTTATACCAAATAGTATATACCAACTTTTGTACGCTTTCCTGTATGTTAACACAGTACGCTTGTCATCCAAGCAGGTTATTGGTTCGATAAGTTAATAGTAAATAGTTAATTTGTTTAGAAAATATCTTAAAAGCTGAATGAACTTCTCAATTTTTATGATGATATGCACTAACTTATTTAGAACCACTTCTAAGAGAAGAGAATTGTTTAAAATTATCCAAATCAATTATGCTAGAAATCTTCGACCTCATAGCTTTCTCTTTAAACATAAAATTGCGACGTACTCCTCAAAGCTATCGTTTTCCATAGTTCGCGTAAAATATGTACAGTGGCGCTCATTAATATTGGGTTTGTTCGCCCGACAAAAAATAAACGTTTGTTAAACCTAGTCCGCTGACGCTATGTTTTCCAAGTTTTTGAAGTTAATTATTTTTTTGGTCTACTAGAGCAACTTTTTGTTTTATATTTTAATATGTATTTCCTATTAGTACAAAATAATTAAATGATTTGTTATGTTTGGACAACGGGATAGTTTTAACAAGCTTTTACTTTTTATCGAGCAAAAAAGCCCAATATTAATGAGGCTCAGTTTATATATATTTCGTAGATAAAAGAAAGCATTATCAAGAAGGATAGGAAATAAATTAATTAATTTTTTTAAATATTAGTATTAATAAAGTATTTTGCAAGTTTTAGTAGAAGCAGAATAATTAAAATAGAATACAGAGTTAAAAACTTACATACAATAATGAGGCGTACCATACAAGCATGCACATACATATGTGGGCATGTAAATTTAATAAATTTATTTAGCAAATAGTAAACCGCTTTCTGAGTATATACGTTTTCATAAAATATTCATACATTATATATATCAATTGTTTTCTTTGGTTACTTCCATTTCCTTTCTTTCTTTTCTTTCGCTTAATAATTTAAAAAAAAAGATTTATTATTACAGACACAACACATCAATAAATATTAAGCATATATTATTTTATTTTTATTTTTCTTTTGGTATTTTTTTGATTTTAAAAACAAACGAGCATACTTTGACCCTGCGTTGACCGTTCAGTTATGGTTGGTTATGGTTAAATATGTTATTAAAAGTACTTGTGGTCTTAAACAAATGTGCTTCTGCTCTCTATTACACTGAGGATGTGTCTTAGCAACCGTTGCAGACACAACAAATGTCAAAGAGCCGTTTTCCACAAATTTATTCAAATGAATAAGAAAATTCCAGTATAAAAGTAGAAATAACAACAAAAATCTCAAGAACAACAACAACGAAAACGCTATTATTATTTCTATTGCTACCACCGCTACTACTAGTAGGACATTGGTCACTGGAATTATACAAAATGGATATATCGAGTTTACAAATTAATGCAACAAATAAAGTCAAAGGTTATTTTACTTAAGGGGAAAACATTTCGAAAACCACCATCAACGTCTTCAAAATAAATTTAATATGTCAACCGAACATAGTTTTAATTGAGTTTCATTTTGATTTCACAAATAAACTTTATTTATTTATTCATTTCTTTTTTTCCTTTATTACCATTTACGTACTACCACGTTAGCTTAGACATAATCAACGAACTTCTCAGTATGTGGCTGAATATTGGAAAATTCCGTGCGGTCATTTCATTGAATGGCAAGTATTGTTCTTCATTTAGTGTTTTTTTCGTTCTCACTTATATTATAACTTAAAATTCCAATATTGCTTGCATGACTAAAAAAAATACCCAAGAGTTGTTGGTGTTTAATGTTAAGCACAACAAAAAAAAAGTACTTGTTGAATATACAATAAAAACGCGTGACTTTTATATCCATTAGCGAGAAATGTCATTGAGTTATGCCATTAGCGGGTATTACCGAGAAAAACTTTTCAAATATCTAATTTAAATGTAGGATTGTATCATTATAAATCGTTGTGCTTATCCTACGAATAACGATCTCACTTCACCCACAAATTTAACTGATATCGTATATTCGTATTCTTTTTCCTTCGAAGTACATTCGATACAATTGAAATCTTACTGCAACAGCGCTCAAGTAATGTCTACGATTCTTCTCACGATAGTGCACCCGATGAAGCTAGTTTTTGTGGCATTCACTGGGCTAGATCTAACTTAATTTCAACAATAGGATGTTTGACACGTGAGGAGAATCTGATTTCCTCCTGTAGACCATCGGACGCCTAAAAAGTTGTTCGGAGTTTGGTGATCATTCGAAATCGTGATATTACTGCTATGAATTTATTACATTACCACAGTTTTTAGGCAATAGACCGATTTTTTCATCTACTTTGTGACACGAACGTCAGTGTTGTTAACACTAAATATTGTTTATATCAACGACTTCGAATTCAAATCATAAAAAGTTCAAAATTCTTGTTTTCAACAATAGATGGACTCATTGTGCCATGAGTTAGTTTTATGGAATGTAAAAGCGCCGCGAATAATTTTTAATATTATATGAAATATTAAGAATAAGTAACGAGCGTCATTGGAATGACGATTTTCTTATTCGATGATTTGATAGGTGGTTGAGCGATCAACATTCTTTTCACAAACAAAGACAATCTTAAGTTGTTCCTTTCCAATCTTTTTTTTTTTTATTACACATTATTAAATTTTTCTTTAGATTAGATCTTTAAGATACGCTGCAATTCGTAAACTTTATTGCATATGTAATGCTCCGACATATGTCTTGAAAATAAAGTACGCAACGCGTTTTTGTATTTTCAGAAATTAAGGAAAAGCTGAAATTCCAACAAATGAGGTACGATCTCGAAATAAGCATACCGTTATAACCACATTGTGGAAATATGTTAAAAATATGTTGTCGCCTCGCCTTATTGTAAATTTTGAATTTTTATTGTCGAATATTCTTAAATTTGTATTCTATTACTTGGTCGGTATAATTAAATAATGAAGGTAGCAAGTTTCATTTCAGTGGTAAAAGTTAGGTTAGGCGGAAACTTGGCATGCATAGGTGAATAGCTTTAATGTTGTCCCTCTAAAGCCATTTAGAAAGCCCGATATAAAACAATTCATATCGTAAGCATTGATTCTCCAAAGCAAAACGGATTGCGCAATATAAGACTATACCGGTGCCATCAGTAGTAACAAAGTTTAATTATATGGACGCGTTTGTCTATGGTTGGAAGTCTGGATCTAGGTTGGAAGTTGCTATCAAATACTTGAACTTTTTCAATTTTTTTTTTTTATTATTTGCATTCTTAAAAACGAATTGGATAAGGGGCCACAATTCACTTCAACATGCCAAGCTTTGAATATACTAATGTTAATCAGATGCATTGCATTGGCACAATTGACTGCTGTGGCTGTATTTGCGGAACTGGTTGCCCAGTAGTTGTTTGCTGAGTTGTGGTTTGTTTAAAAGATCGTGGTGGCTTATAATCAGACAATAGAATACTTTAGTAATTACTACAAGGATTGGACAGACTGGAAAGGCGCTAATAGAGAATTGAAGGGGTTTTTTTAGTAGTAACAACTCTAAATCGCCACTTTTATCATGTGATCTGCCTTGGTTGGCTTTAGTTTTGTTGAAAATTGAGTTTCGTACGCACGATTCCCATATCTGGGATGAATTTTTAAGGCAAATCTTTGCAGCTGGAACTAAGCCTAATCTCGACGCGGTTTTAAAGGTAAATTAACTGAATTTAAAAAACAGCATGGATTTGAATTTAAATTATATATATATACATATATATTAGTTTGGGGAAAAAGAAATCCATTATTTTTATATGAACTTCAGGACTTTATTTAACATGCTTCGGATTGTCCGATTTATATATATAATATATATATATATATATTTTTTTTTTCTTCTTTTTTAGAAGACTTTAAATATCGCAAAAAGACCCACGTATTCAGCGCAAACATTATGTTTATATAAGTATGCTAATCTATTAGCCGGTATGGATGTTAAACATGCCTTATATCCCATAATTAATCAGAAATTTTCCGAACTGTATTTATCTCGAGTACCTACACATTATAATGAGCACAGGTTAGTTTGGATTTAACTGTTGCATTCTGTTTATAAGATTTAAATTAATTTGTTGCAGCTTTCAGCAAACTCACGGAGTAACTGATAAGTTCTATGACTTTAATGTGTCGTTAATGAAAAAACTTAAAAATAATTTGGAAGCCGCTGAAAAGTTTTATGAATCAGAAGCTACCAAACATAGAGACGACGGTTTTGTTTTCTACTGTAGAAGTTGTGCGAAGTAATTTGACAAATATATATATATATAAAAAACTGTACGTGCGTCTTTATACCTTTACTCAGCGTGTGATCGTTAAGGATTTAGCCACGTTTTACGTGGGGCAACGTCGCTTTGTCCAATTTTTGGTATTGCACGACCTGCCACAGTAGCTGCAGCGTTTATAAGCCCAGGATCAGCAACTACGTTTTACCAAAGCAATTACCCCAATATAATCGCAATAAAAAATTAGGAAAATTAAACGAAAAATAACCGAAGTAAAAAAATTTAAACAAAAATTAAACCGGTTGCCATTCCTTTAATTACCTGAACCTTGAGGACGGTAACCGTAACTGCCCGGTGGACCAACCATTTGTGAAGGATGGTGCTGTATTGCGCCGATATCGTTCCCATCAAAATCCATTTCACCCACTAGTGCACCCGCTGAATACTCATCTTTTAGAAGGCGACTCGGTCCCGATTGTAAGGTGAGCCCAGATAAGCCAATGCCAGGGGAGACTACTCGCTCATAGTGATAACGATTCACACGAACAGAATCGCATTTGAGATCAAAAGCGAATGCACAATATTTAACATGCTTCAATCCATTCTTATGAAGATCAGGCCAACGTCAAATACCTGCATAAGTGACATGAGGGAAGCCTTTCTGACCCCCGACCTTAAAAAATAAAATTTTGAAGCAAGAAAACCCCGAAAAGTAAAAACTATGAGTACGAGTTTTGCAAACTATTCTCCTTCGCAAAGAAAGAATATCCAAACTCACAATGTATGCCTTGGAATAAATTTGAGCAGAATAATCATTTACCCGCGCAATGGGCAGAAGCGACTGAATCATTTCAACCTCCCGTGTCCCAAGAGTAATTCTATTCACGATCCTCTTTCACTTGGGCCGATCAATGATTTCAGTTAATTATTTCACCGGACGTAATGAAGTATAAATATTTGACGGAATTGTTAATTTATGAGAACATTGATTCAGTTACAGACCTGTAATATACTTTCTTGAGATCAAATTTTGTTTTACAAAAAAATTATTTTTATTAACACCCATAGGCTTTCTTATTTTGCTTTTTAAGTGCATGATGGGAAAAACAAAGGCTAACAAAGAAAACTTACCATATGAAAAAAAATCTATATTATTGTGTACACATATATAGCGAATTTTTAAAAGACAAATAATACAATCCAAGATACAATATAATATCTGAGGCAAGTGAAAAATTAATTCGACTGAACGCTGTATATATTCTTCATTGGAGGAGTCGGCGAAAATCCATTTACAACTGAAAATAGATATTTTTTTAACGTGTTTAGATGTGGTTAAGACTGTTTAAGACTGTCAAATAAGATTTTATATGCTTTCGATGTTGAATGTGCGTGGATAGTATTTCATATCTTGCTTTTCCATTATTTGGATGCTTTTTTAAATATATCTAAAAGTTGGTATAATGTTTTCATTTCACTTATTGCGTGCAATGCGCAAAGGTAAGAGAGTAATTTACAACCGTGCAATAGGACAAAAAGTTCACTTTGAGGCATGTACAGTCTCTACAGTTGTCAAACGTTGATCAGAATCCTGTTATAGAACAAAAAGCATTTTGAAGGTTAAACGGTTTGCGGCAACAAAAATTTCGCAAACGAGTTGTTTCATACGACGGTGATTGACGGTGCTGCTGCCAAAATGTTTATATTTTCGGAAATCAAAAACTGAGATGAACAGAAATCATAGCTGTCTTCTTTTATTTTAAGAATATAGTTGCTAGGTGCTTGCCTGTATTTTGTTCAGCGACATCTATTGGTTAAACTGACAAAGTAACGAGAGGTATCCATTAACAGAACAGCCAAATTCGATGATTTTAACCCTTCTCCACATAAAACAGCAGTTTTCGATTTAATATTATTCGGTTATTTATCGTATACACACGCTACTCATAAAATGCTTAACATCACATTTTCGACTTTGTTGTGCGATTTGAAGAAATCTGCTGCCGCAGCCTATCAAACACTTTTAGAAGCTTCATATTTCAATTATCGGTTTTGGTCTCAGCGGTTTAAAAGTGGTGATTTTTATGTCAATGACAAAGTACGGCCGGGATAACAAAAAAAGTTTGAAGATATTGACAAAAGGGCGAAGAGTGGCTATCATATAAATTGACTGGAAATGCTATTTTAAACAGGTCCAACGTCGCGGTTTCATTGTTTGTCAGATAAAAAAAAAAGGATTTCGAACGGCTATTTGTAGAATTTGCTTGTGCTACAAAGTTGAGATAAATCGTAACAGTTTAATACCTCCAGAATATGATGCCGTACTACCCTACAGAGAATCGATTGAATGAAAAACGAAATTTGCTTAAAGTCGTTGCAAAAACCTAAACAAATCGGACAATCGAACTATTTATCGAAATCATTTAAATTTTATAATTTAAGAATTTTTTAAATCTATATTCTATGCCAAAAACGAAAGCAAAAAGCGAAGTGTTGCGAAATGTGACAAAGACTCTTACAATTTAGTTTTATGTTTCCGATTTAAAAAAATTGTTTTTTTCTTTATTTAAATATGAGTTAATGCAAGCTACTCATAGAATAACACATATTTACATATAGCTTACTTATAATGCTATTTATTACCTCTCTTACAGTTTAAATATTATAGTTAACCAATTAAATGAAATTCTACTTAAGGTGACGCGGCATGCATTATAAGGAATTTTAAGTTTTGCACCTGATTTAAAGTTTTGTTGACAAAGTTATTAAAATAACAAAACCGCACTCAAACACAACAGCGAGCAGACAATTCAATTTAGTCACGGAAGTCATATCAGTGACAATAAATAAGTTTCCAAACTTAAACAGGCAAAACATTACAAACATAATAACAAAAAAACCAAGTGATGAAAGAAAAAACATTTTCAAAAGTAATACTAAACTAAAAATTCCAGCAATTTATTTAGAAATGACTTAAAACAAAAGAAGTTCGCTTTAAACTGAGTCTTAAACATCTGCTACTGCAAGGAACGTCTAATTGCCGTAAAGTTTTTTATTAACTATAAATATATATATCTACTTTGTCAGATCTACTATTTGGGTTTTTTTTTTTGTTCATTTTGTTTATATCTTCTATTCCTGTAATGCGTTGACGGTGAATAGGAAGTGAAGATTTCATAGAGTTTAAGAAAAGGAATTTTCAATTATTCCTTACGACTTTTTTCGATTTCTCAACATGCAACCATGTTGTTTGGAATTTTAATCAACTCACAGCAAAATTTGGTGCTGATCTCTGTAAAGGTAGTAACATAGTTGATGAATAAAAATTCTACGCATCACTCAGTGTTAAGTTTTAACGTAAACAATGCCTTATGGCTAGGGAAAGGACTACTGCTGTAAAGAGTAGTTCCCCTCGTAAAGAATCAAATTTTTACATATAAAGCTTACCGCCCTATCACCAAGTGACCGCTTTGCTTCATAAACCCTTGTTTTATTTACTTTACCCTAAAATGAAGGAGACGGTATAGAAAGTGGAGAAATCAACATAAGGACCAAGATTTTTCTTGCTTGAATCCTATCGTGTACTGCTTATTTAGATGCTCTATTCAATGGCTGTTAGTAGGCACTTTTGACTTTCTCCATTTTTTTTGTTGCCTTTGTACGATGGACTATGAGCATGCAGAAAGGTGGGCAAACGATTGGGTTCTACATGAACTTTTATTAAGTACTCGTCGACGATCCAGAAATTGGCTTAGAAGTGAGATACGATTTTTATGGAATCTTCATTGTATATTAGAGAAAGAACAATAAATCGAATATGTTCTCATTCTTGTATAGTGTGTAAAAGTATTTAAACGTTATAATCACTTTAGGACGATCTTGGTACACGCACCTGCTTTGCTTTACACTGATCAAAACTATATATGCATTCTTGTAAAATGAGATACTTTTATCCTTCAATTATGAGCATTACAAATATGGAAGTCTTCTTCGCTTTAGAGTGAACCTGGCACACACACACACACACACACCACCTTTAAATTATTAGAGTAATGATAAGAAAACCATTCTGAGCAGAATTTCTTTTGTGGCTGCTAAACATTCAGATCAAATATAAGATATGTTTATTAATAAGAGCAGAAACTAAAATTTTTAGTTTAGTTACACTGAGGTTTTTGAAATTGTTGCACTTCTTCTTTTCTATTGCGGAAGTGTCGTTCGATCCGTTTCCTTGCGGAATTGATTGAAATGTATATAAATAATGGAAACTTGCAGTTTGCAGCAGTGGGTTTTTCAAAAACGGACGGGTCAGCAGACATGCATGACATCGGCGAATAGACTGACTTATAGATGGACGGATCGATAGACATACACCAATGTTCATATGTTTATTCACAAACTGTTTATGTTCTCTTATAAACACTTTTGAATATTATTATTTTGAATATCTTGATTACAACAATCATATGAACAATGTAAATGATTATTAAATACTCTTACCAGATGTTCTTAACGAATACAGAAGAACTGATGAATAACGCGCACCATAAAAACTAAAAATAAATGTTTACAACAATCACCTTAAAGGTTTCAAACACAATATATTGCCCGGCGAAAAGTTGTTATTAAAATTCATGATATACTTCATTACGTTATCGTACATCTTGTGACGCTTTGAACTCTTGAAAATTTCAGTTAAAATAGTGAAGATTTTTAATTATCAATTTGTCAAAGGACAATATGACAGTAACAACATTTTCAAATACTAATATCATTTTTAATTTCAAATTGATGTTGTTTAAAAAAACGGAAACGGGATCGCGTGAATATATGTAGAAATATACAAACTTATAAGCAATGAATGCATAAATTGTTGTAGACTGTGCACCATTACGACGACTGTCGATATAATTTGCAGAAAAACTAAAATAAAAACTTGCAAAATAACAAACTTTGGTACACCGTATATAGTATCCTGGCAACATTTTTTTGGTTTTAATTTTTTAAATTATTCTTTTTTCCTCTTTCGCTTACTGTAAAGAAAGAGAGAATCGGAACACAGTACCGTCGAAATTTGTTTTTAATCTTCCATCAAGTTTTAAAATAATGTATATTTAAAAAAAAGAAAGAAAACAAGAATCGTTGATTATTTTTGCCTTTGCAATTATTTCCACAGAAAGTGCAAGGGAGGAGTTCTAAACCATGCGGCGTAAGCATTATATGGTATTTGCACGTACGAAGGTGACTTGTAAAGTTCATTACAATTTTTGTCGCTTTCCAAAAGTAAATACACAAAACGTTAGCGTAACGGAAGGTAAATACTTCATGGCACTGAAAAGCGCACTAAATAAACACGATAAGAAAATGAGATCATCATGTTCATCATCTTAGCGAATCAGATTCAATTTTCAATCAATATCAAACTTTTAAAAGCACTTAATAGATAATATTAGGACGTTTATATATTCTTGAGTGATTTTTCAATTGCGAAATCAATTTACTCCGACCCATCAGTCGTTTGTCATTTGTCCGACTATTTAAGACTGCTATTAAAGTATTCCTGCGCATAGCCATCAAATTGGGTTCAAAAACCCGTTAGAAATATCGACAAATTTTCATAAAATCACCAGTCTATCCACTCTTACCGCGTATGTAAATATGAAACCGGAATTTATACCTGAATGGCCCTAATATCATGTATAAACAACATACATATGTGAAGTTGTTTCTTTTATAGTTTAAACATCGGACCACAATAATCAATTGCCGTAGCAGTACATATTACAATGTAAGAATTCTTTTTCTTACAACGACGGATGAAAATGTCCAGTTTTGTGATAAATTAAGAGC